ACACCGAAAAAATATATATTTTTGTATATATTTTCGAATATAATTTCAAATATATGCAAAAATATATGTAGCGTATAGAATAAATATATGCACGATACATCAAATTTTGCCCAAAAATATATGTCAAGCATATATGTCTAAATACATTGTTCAATATATCGAGAAATATATGTACGCGTATATGCGTAAATATACGCGGAGTTATATGTAGCATATATTCAAAAAAATCCATCGAAGTATACACAGAAACATAAGTAAAAATATTTGTAGAGATAGAACGCTGCTGAACTTATCAAAAATAAAAGCCTTTCAATTAAATAAATATAGATTATATAGGTAAGCATAAATTACTGTTATTTTTTAGGAATACTATTTTTGCAATATTGTATGATTATAAATTTTGAGTTTATTCGTAAAAAAACGTTTGATACACATAAAGTTTAACTTTTTAAGAAAAAAAACTTTTAAGAAAAAAAAATATTATAAAACTCGTTAGTAATTAAAAAAAGGCCTTATCAATTTTTATTATTAGCATCTTCATTCGGTTTTTCCTTGGTTTTTTCCTGTAACATTAAATTATTAATATAATTATAGCAACTAAGTTTCAATTGATGGTCGTAGTAAAATCTTGATTATTGTCAACTCACAGTATGACGACGATTTTCGGTTTTCAATGAAGCTAATTTTGTGTTTATAGCTGCACCGAATTTACCTTCGTTGAAACTACTTTTAAAACGAGCTTTGACAGTAACTATAAAAACATGTTTGATATAAGCCACAATATTGATTAGTTAACTATCAAATAATTATTTAACGTTTACCTTTTATCCCTTCAATAATTGTTGAATCTAACGCATTATATTGAATACTCTCACCTTCTGGCTTTTTTATTTTTGACTTACCACCCTTGTAGTTACTATTAAGTAGTGTATCTTTTTCAAATAATGCCACAACTAAGGCAATTCCCATCGATGTAAATGTATTTTTTGATTTTATGTAATCCCACTGCTCTCTGGTTACGTAAATTTTACTTCCATTTTTTCCTATTTCCTTCTGTAAAATATAAATAATGATTAATAATAATTGATATAAACCCATTAATACTAAGTTAAAATGAAAAATAATATACTAAATCAGGATCCATATTTTCAACTTCTTCGGGCTTACGAGTACTTGCTTGACATTTATGATCTTTTTTTCGTTGACTATTAGTAAGAAAACCTTTCATCTCCGCTAAAGCTGAACATACACAAACAAAATTATGCCTGTATTTAAACATGTGTTAAATATTAAAATACTGTAGATGATAAGTACCTGCACTCAAGTCATGTTTTGTTACGAACTGATTTAGAGAAGTTTGAGTCTGTAGTGATTTACCAATGTCAGAAGAAGAGGAGGTCTTAGCTTCGGAAGATGGTGGGAGACTTCCTTTATTATTTAATCCATTTTCGACGTCTATAATTTCTAAAGAGTCAGAGTTTGACTTCTCCTTTTCATTAACACTAGAAATAGTCGGCGAAATCTTCGTACTAATGTCATCATCTTGGAGTTGGATGACTTCAGATACTTCTTCGTCAGATTTACCATTATCCTTAAACCAATTGAACTATTAATATTTATTTACTGTTGGCTCATACTTACAGAAAATATTTTTCAAGTAAAGTCTGATAAAATAATTATAAAAAGATCGTATGAAAGCATTACTTGAACTTGATC